ATATTTTTTAGTAATAATAAAAAATTTACAGGGTAATAAATAATATGTATAATAATAATAATAATATATTTATAATTAAATAAACTAAGTAAAATGAAATTAGTATAAAAAGAAAAGAGAAAAAGACAAAAACACAAAAATGAAACAAAAAAAGAATGATTACATAGGGAGATAGGGGTGGCATTAGCAAATGATAGGGGTGCCATTAGCCTCCCCCATACCCAATTGCAGCCGTGCCCATAGATTTGGTAGTTGACTTTATCAGGCTGTATTTCGGATCATAAACTTAATGATTTCGTTTAAGTGAATATGGCCATTTATTGTTCTTTTCCTTCAGCTAACACTTTGTTGAAGATGCAAGTTTGTCTATTAGACCAGCTTCTGTACTTTGTAGTGGTTGCATAAATTTGGGAACTCAAGAAGCATCAGATAATGAATAGTAAGGAGAAATAGGTTAAAGATTAACGAGTCATAGAACTTGAATGACTAATTTATTGAGTGCACTCAACATGAGATGACATAGTTTTCGTTCTAGCAAATAAATGATAAGATTTGCTTACGGTACGAATACATATGTTATAGGCTGGTACTTTACCTCTCAGGAAGTCATTATGCACAGGTAAGGTAAATGATCTACCTATTTCAAGTATCCAATAGCCCAGAAATAAACAATGAAGCAAGTTAATGTTTGGAAGTTTCTTCCATTTAAAATCCAACCGAGGCATCCTTTAAAAGTCAAAATTTGTTGTGTTAAGCTTACAACGTCCATTTCTCCTTTTCTATTCCATGAACACGGAAGATCTTGGAAATGGGTATTACAATATGAAAATTCACTTGGCGAGGATAATTGATAAAGTTATGATTAGCTCTAGGTTGACTAACGGAAGGACTCAAACTTAGGGAGGGGGGGTATGCGTCATCCATCCGAATAAAAATCCCCAGGATATATAATCAACAAATGGCGATGTGTCGGCACATGAATGGTGGGACACAGAGCTTGGGGAAAGGAGATTTTTATCCCATTCTTTCGAGGCCCCCATCATACCGGTCCTAGGGTCATCATGGGGGTGGAAAATCGCATTATCCTGGATCGAAATCAAGACCTCTTATTTGGTTATCCACCCCTTCCTGTTAGGGAATATCATAGACTCAAGCTTATGTAGCTCCGATTTAAATTTATTGGAAATTATGAGATTAACTTTTTGCAGTTTTCATTTTCTCTCATTGTTTGTATTGAGAGATTAACTTTTACTAGCGGTCTGTGTCTCTCTCTTCTAGCACTTTAACTCTACATGCTTTTTAACCTTTTCAATCTTATAAGAATTGATGCTATCAATGAAGCATTTGTGTTCTGTAATTCTTATGTATGAGTTTCATGATTAAGCCAATACAAGTTTTCCCTCCAATTGTCGATGATTACATTAGACCAAATCTTGGAGAAAATAATAATATGCCTTCTTCAAAATATGAATCAATGTTATCAGAGAACAATTCGCTGTTGTTGAATCTGTTGTTCCAGTTCACACAATTTCGTGATAATAAGACAAAATATAAGAGGGTCATTGGCCCAACGGTACCTAGGTTACCGGTAAAGCCCAACATCTTGGAATGTCAAAGGTTCAAACCTCACCAATAAGGTGTGTGCTTGAGTATTTGCTGTGTATAAATATATATACTTAAGAAAAAAGTACCCTGCTGTTGACAGTTCCGTCAAACCAAAAATGAGAGTTAATCATAACGTCTTTTAGCCTCCTTCGATCTATGTCCCCTATCTGCCAGTCTTTTCTGTTTATGCTCGTTTTTTCTGTTATTGCAGCTACTGGAAATTGCACAAGTTCCTGATGAGCATGTGAGTTCTGGTTCTTTTCTTTTCCTTTTAGTTTACTGCCCAACCTCTCTACTCTTATGGGTGGAACATAGGGCTCCGCTTACATCTTAAGAGCATCTCCAACAAATTCCTTGTATTTTCTCTAAGGTGAGGAAGCAAAATCTGAAATCTCTATAGCAAATTACATTCAACTCCAACACATTCTGTATTTTGAAGATTTTAACATTAATTGTATTATGAGTATGTTCAATAGATTAGATTTTATATGAAATGATAATACATTCAATTTTATTGCTGGGAACACTAAAAAACAATTTCTCTCTCTCTCTCTCTCTCTCTCTCTCTCTTCAGCATTAATTTTAGAGAGTTCGTTAAATTTGGAGATTTTTGTACTCTAATACTTTCTCTATTTCGCACAAAGTGTTAGAGAATCTGCTGAACCAAAAAAAAGGGGTTAAAATCTCCATTTTCTTTGTTTTAGAGAGAATATGTTGTAGATGCCCTAATCCTCCTCAGACCTTACTTCTCACATATATAGGGATTAGAACTACTTCCACTCCTCCCCAAACAAAACCAACCTTAAAAATCTACTTGATGTGCATCAATCTAGCATGGATTTATGAACGAATGACGTTAAAATCATAGAAAGACATTTGATTTTCGGTTGAGTCCATGGATGATGTCTCATTGCTTTGACTTGAGCAGGTTAATGAGTTCAAGTCAATTGACAAATTCAAGATCTTTAACACGAACAACTTGTAAGTCATGATCTTGCATATGTCTTAACATGTATGTCTGATGTACCACTCACATTTTAGTATGCAGGTGGTTGAACTTGAGCGCGGTTAGAAGACTTGTGGAAGCACAAGCACTTAAGATGGAGATTATTCCCAACCCAAAGGTGTTTGCGTTATCAACTTAGAATATCATTTTTTTGTTTGGATACCCATATGTGCCCTGATCAACTTGCACACACCTTGACTAATTATATGGGGTCCTACAGTTAACAGCCAAACAAATATTCGGTGGCCCTAAAGGGACTCGAACCAGTGACCTCTGGAAAACATACACAAGGCATTAATAGTTGACCTACCCTTGAGGGTTTAGAAAATCATTTTTATGTTAAGATGACCATAGGTGTCTGTGTCAGCTTGCTTGGACCTTGACTAAACTTTAGTTAACAGTCAGACAAGCATTCGGTGCCTTGAAGGGAACCGGTCTGAGAAATGAACATAAGACCTTAATAGTGTTAATAGTGAACCTACCCTTAAGGGTTTAGAAAATCAATTTTATGTTTTGATAACCATAGGTTATCGGGTCAACTTGAACACACCTCGACTAATCCTATAAGGTCCTAAAGTTAATAGTTAGATAAACATTTAGTGACCCAGGAACTCGAACCGATGACCTCTGAGAAACAAACATAAGAACTTAATAGTTGACCTAACCCTAAGGGTTTGGAAACTCTTTTTATGTTTGGATAACCAAAGGTGTCTGGGAACTTGCATGTACCTCGACTAATTCTATATCATCCTAAGGTCAACAGCCAGACAAACATTCAGGGCCCTGAAGGGACTCGAACCGATGACATCCGGAAAGCAAAGATAAAGCCTTAACAGTTTACCTACACCTAGAAAAACATTTTTAGTTGGTTATTTATTAGAGCATTTCATGGTTTACAGGAAGTCAACGGGGTTAAAGTTCTCCAGTTAGAAACAGCAGCTGGTGCTGCAATTAGGGTATGTCTCACTTCATAATCTTGATGTTGTATCTAAATTCCTTCAATATTATTATTTTCTTTCTTTTCTTAATGCTATATAATTACTTTTTGATAGATGCACCTAAGGACCAACTACCAAATCTAGACCGAGGACCAGACCAAGAAGGACCGGACCGATGCAACTGGTTAAGGACCAGACCAGTCCTGAGCCAGGATCGGTCCTATTTTTTTATAGGAAAGACCCATCCAGAAATGGCAGGATTAGGACCGGAGTCCATATAAGGACGGGTTAAAACTGATTGGTAACTGTCCATATATCTGGACTTGTTTATGCCGATGCAACCAAAAACTTTTATAAATTAAAAAAACATAAAGAAAAATGATACAGATCAGGTTCGGTTAGGAGTGTTGGGTGGCCAAGGACCGTTTTTGTTTACACCGTTGGGACTGGGCTCGTAAGGACTCTGATCTTGATTATGAATTATGATGATGCTGTTGCTTACACAACTGTGTTGTTTTATTACCAGTTCTTCGATAATGCTATTGGCATCAACGTTCCACGATCTCGATTCCTTCCAGTGAAAGCAAGTTCAGATTTGCTTCTTGTTCAGGTTAATCATTTTTACCTCACCTTCGGTTATTTATTGTTTATAATGACCTCTGCCCATATACGTCAAAGGATTGGAACAAAAAGCTTATCCGTTGATTCGAACACAAAACATTTTTTTATTTTAAATTTGTTATTGAGGAACTACTTACTTTTAAAAAACATTTTTTTGTAAAAACATGAACATCTGAAAAACTGCTTCAAACCTTTCAGATCAATATATTAATTTTGTAGATTTAGTCTCGTCTTTCCACAAATATTTGAAAAAAATCAAACGCAAAGCATGCATGATTCGTTACATTGCTAGGTTAGTTGCCTTAAATGGCGGAGATTTTATTTAAAAAAACTAGCAAAAAGTTAGAAAAAACAAAGTACATGTAAGAGATAGCAAGAAAGAGGTTTTGTAACCAACCCATTAAATTAATGTTAAACTTACTATTCCTATTTGTAACCTAAAAGAACGAAAATGTCACAATGCTATCCCACAATGCTGTTTTCTTAGGCTTAGGAAGCCTAAAAGGAGTCCCATTTCGATTAGACCAAATAGCCCATAAATTCGTTAGAACGACTGACTATAAACAAGCCGACTCCACTTTTTTCAACTGCAAAGATGACAACCAACCAATCTGATTCGAATTAGGGTGTACATAAACCTGCCATACCCAACAAAACCTCAAACTTAGGCCAACTAATTCAATCTGAACCAGTTGAAAGTCAATGTCTTTAATCTATAAATCGGGATAGTACGTTTGTTAGGGTTAGGGTCAAATTAACCCTGACCTAATATATTCAACCTTATCGAGCAAAATCTGAATCTCTCACTTCTTAGAGAGATCCAATTTAAACCGTAACTATGTATTGATGGATTTAATTCAATATTTCTATTGAAATATGTATATTATCATCAATTTTATATGTACTTATATTTTGATCATTCTAATGCCATTGTACAGTCACCATTGTATTTGATTCTCTCTCTTTTAGGTTTTACATTTTAATTTAACTATATTTCTAAAACTATGTTTCCCAAGTGTCGAACGTTTTTTAATGCATATAATCCAAACCATTCCTGTTGCATGTTGGGTTGGGTTGGGTTATTTATACATTAAAAAGGTTTTGAATGAATTAAGATTTTTTGACCGAAGTAGTTGGATACTTGGATAAAATTATTTAACGTTTTGGAAGAGTAACATTAAATATTGTTGTTATTGTATTACATTGATCAATTTCTATTATATTAACGTCAATTTTAATATGCAGTCCGATCTTTACACTGAAAAGGATGGGCAAGTGATTCGTAACCCAGCTAGAACAAACCCTGCTAACCCTTCAATCGAATTGGGCCCTGAATTCAAGAAGGTAATTTTATATTTTAAACAGTGAACAACAACCAACTCCTCACACGTCATTAACAATTAGTGTTATGTTATAATTATATCAAATCATACATTCAAAATGCAAAAATGAATCTTGATGTTGTGTGTGAGGAGAAAATTAGTAAATAGGGATGCATTTAGCTCATCCCTCGAACATAGAGAATAAAAAGATAATTAAATAAAATAAGAGCAAATTATGATTTTCGTCCCCGTGGTTTAGAAATTATGATTTTCGTCCCTATGGTTTGTTAATGATTCAGATTTTTGTTCTTGTGGTTTAAATATTATGATTTTAGTCCTTGTGGTTTGCAATTTATTGCTATTTTAATCCTTGGATTAGTTCCTACCTTTAAGTACAAGGGACCAAGCCTGTAAAGAATTGTAAACCACAAGGACTGAATGAATAATAAATTGTAAATTATAAGGACAAAAATAACAATAAATTACAAACTATAGAAACAAAAGCCACAATTTCTAAATTATAAGGATGAAAATCACAACTCTTAACAAAACCATAGGGACCAAAAACGTAATTCAAATAAAGAGGATTTGTATTCTTTGTTTACTAACCGCATTATAATTAATTTTCATACAGGTTGGAGACTTCTTGAAGCGTTTCAAGTCCATCCCCAGCATTATCGCGCTCGATAGCTTAAAGGTTTCTGGTGACGTATGGTTTGGAGCTTCTGTGGTTCTCAAGGTAATAACCTGGTTTGGTGATTCCAATATTTGAGGTGATTTTTTGCGATCTCAAATTATACACAACGGTGTCCAACTATTTTATTATGTCCAACACGACTAAGGAACAATAGGAGCTCGGTTATTGCCTTTTACTGAGTAAGAGATGATGGTCTTAATAGTTAAGAAAAGCTCATCTGAACGCTTACCCAATTTGTATAATATAATAACAACATTAAGCCTTCGACGTGTAGCTTAGTTTGCAAAGGGACAGAGCAACTTTGCCTAATTAAAAGACAAGCATCCCCTCATATTGGTGTTCTTGGAGGTGGGTTCTGTGTGGAACCGGTTAAAGTTGTCGATAATCAACTTTTGTCGTGTGAAAATATGTGAAACCCCATATCACTTTTCAAAAGAGCCCTTGAGGAGAGAAGAGAGGTTCCAACATATATAACAAGTGAAGGGTCAGGCGAGTACGACCTTGGCTTTAGTACCATGTAAGAATATGTGAAACCCAAATCACTCTAAAAAAGAGCCTTTAGGAGAGTCATGGAGGTTTCAATATATATAAAGGAGAATTTGTTCAAGTCTAACCTATGTGGGACTCTAAAGTCTAACATGCCCGAATAGCAACACCAAAATCATGGGTCTTTAGGATTTGTTGACATTTTTCTTGTTTGTTTGCCAAGGGTAAAGTGGTGGTCGCTGCAAAATCAGGAGAGAAATTGGAAATTCCCGATGGAACTGTACTTGAAAACAAGGTGATGTCATCTGTTCTGATCTAAGCATTTCTAAACATTTTATGCACAGAAATTTAACAAATTAGTCCGTTTTGTCTAAAGAATTCATAAAAACCCGTTTATTAAAGAAAATCGGCAAAAATAACCATTCTTATTATATTAACTGGTCTCTTTAGGTATTGTTTTTCTTGGTTTATCCAAATATCGCTTCGTCACAAGTCTCACATCCGCCACTTGCGGACCTAGCCAAAAGATAAAAAAATCAAATTGTAGACTTGGCCGTCGCAATTGTGGACCTGGGTCAAATCTGATAAAAAAATATGTCTGTTAGTTGGGTCCGCAAGTGGCGGACTAGGGACTTGTATAGATGTTGTGATATTTGGGTAAATCATATAGAGGAATGGCTAGGAGATCAATTTATGCGAGAGAAATGACTAATTTGGCCAATTTCCCGTTTATTAAACATTATTATGAAATAGCTGATAAATCCACAAATTGTCTTCTTCAACTATGGCCCACACTACAATAAGATTTGGGTTTATAGGACCCGACAATGTTTGTCTTAATAGACCATTATATATGACTTTAAATGTCTTATCTAGAAATGTTGTAATAAGTTTATAGAACGTTTTTAGGTCTTTTAACAAGCTTTTTAGTACATTTATAAAATAAAACGTTGTATTAGCTATTTTATATGACATGAGAAGTGTCTTATAAGCACATGTTTTTTTAAATAGTGATATAAAATAGCTAATGTGGAGCTTTATTTTAAAAATGTTCTAAAAACTTCTTAAAACACTTTTAGGTAGGAATTTTATCGTTAGATTCTATAAACATATGTTTTTTTATAAAAGTGTTTATTGAAACTTTTAGACAAATTTTCTATAAATGCAATTTTATAGACTCAATCTTTTTGATTAATCTGGATATCCTACCCGCTATGCGAGCCGACTAATCTCAGGGCGACCATCTGCTTTGCGGGTAGCTTGGAGTAACCGCATTTGAACCTCCGTGGCCACAAGGGGATTTTTATTCCTACTTGGATTTGAACCTGGGACCTCCAGACATTTTTTATCTTTGAAGTCCAAGCTCAAACCAATCAGACACCACCCTTGTGGTTTATGGACTCAATTTTGTTGTAGTGCCAAGTAGCTTAATCTTTTGCTTTCGGGCTGAAGTGGGGAAAAAATATATCCCATCATCTCACAAAAAGAAATGTCCGACGCAAATTTGCTAAGGTCAATTTACCGGCTCTTTTATGATAATCTGTAATCAACTTTTTATTAGGGGTGTTTGGGATTGCTTATCTGAAACAACTTATGATTTTTTACAAAAGCACTTGTCAACTTATTATAAGTCAAAAGGGTTTAACTTCTTCAAAAACTTCTTATTACCGGTTTGGTACCGGTATAAGTTGTTTATCCAAACACTCAAAAGTGTTTATTACCAGTGTCATAATAAGTCAATAAGTTGTTCTTATAAGCAATCCCAAACACCTTAAATTTATAAAATAAAACGGTTATTTGGTGAGTTTTGAGCCGAAAATGACTAGATTTGCATGTTGTGATGAAATAAGCACTTTATAATTCGAGTTAAGAGGAGAGTGTATAGACATGAATCACTTTATGAAGTTATCTTGAAATTCATTTACAGGAGGTGCATGGTGCTGGAGATATCTAAACAGACGACTGCTGATTAGCTTATGAATTAAGAGTTCACTTTGCATGGTGGCTGCTTTGTCTTTAGGTTTTGGTAGTAAGCATATTGTATCCAATAAAACTGCACCAATTTTTTGCAATGCTTTTCCAACTTTGCTCATCATTTCAACTATATCTTCGTTGGAGGATTTGGTTCCGGTGAAAAGGAGAGTAAGGTGAAAAGCGTAAGAAGAGATCTCAATTTCTTAGATGCATATTAAGATGAGATGTACTGAGATTAATCCCCGTATCAAATGCAATTCATGGGTGGGTTTGAAGTTAAAAATGATCAAAGGTATGGATCTCTTCTTATGTTTTTTTTTTACCTTTAACTTTCATTCTCACACGATCATTCTGTCTTTCGTAGGATTGTATGTGGTAATTATAAGTCGGTATTATATTAGAGATGGCAACCATGAGAATTGATAACGAAAACACACTTCAGTCTTCGAATCACTCATCTTTAGGAGCATTTTCAACAGGTTTTGTAAAATCAAGAAAAGTGAGATGCCTATAAACATATCGTGGAAACCAGAGAAAGTCGGGAACCATTGGTTACCTTTTGAATTAGAGTAGCTAAAATTCTCGCTAATGCCCTATTGAATAGGTTGAGCTATAGAGAGATTGACCCAATAGGCACAATACTCGATCATAGAACAGATTTGCTTGCCAGATTTGACTGGTTCAATTTATCATGTTCGATAAAACCTTTTGCGCCAAGAACTGGGCTCCTTGTCAGGCTTAAAACTCAAAATTTTCTAGAATAAATTACATTTAAATCCAACAGATATTCTATTTTAAAGATTAGAGCATTGATTTTCTTTCATAGCAATAAAAGTTTGATTTTCTCTCATAATAATCATTTTTAAAGAGTTTTTTAAATTTCTCTCATGCTTTTCTTTATTTTGGAGAGAATCTCATATATATTTCATTTTTAAAAATATGTTAAAAATATTTAAAGTGCAATAACAACAGTTACCACCTGTATTTATTTTAGGGTATCTCTAACCCACCACTAAAAACACCATAAACATTAAAATGGAAATGTTTTCTTCTCCAATCTATCACTAAGGGTGCATTTGGTATGCAGACAGGACAGAACAGGACAAGACAGTTGTTCAGCGTTTGGTAAGACATGACAGGACTTGACATAACTGGTTAAAATGACTAATTTACCTCCAGTGAGTTGTTTAGTGTTTTTTTTTCACTAAATAATCAATATAAATGTTAACAAATACGGTATGCAAAGTATAACTTACATCAAACCACTACTACTTACAAAAATACATTTGCAAAAATACATGATTTTATAATCAACTAATGATATATGAAAAAGGTAAATATAATATAAGCATCAAGAATTCATTATCGAAGCAAATGTATATGCATTCTATACTAAGAAGAAAAAACTACTAACAACAAGCATACAATCAATTAAAGTGAATTAAATATCAAATAGTAAATAAAATCTAAGCCTCAAGAAAACAATTTGGCTAGTGATCTCATATAATATCATCACATTCACAAAACTTGGTTTACAGGAAACAAAAGAATTCACCTACCACCTGTACAATCACTCCTGTAAAATCAAAATCGAATATTTACTACTCTGATCAAGAGAAAACATACAAAGCTCATCGAAAACAACAAATTGCATACGTGAACCTTACGCAATACGTTTGACGGTGATAAAATTAAGAAAACAATTTATGTAATTTATTAAATTATAATAGAATAATTATTTTTTATAATAAAATATATCATTTGAAGTTTTCGTCAAAACAATTAAAATGACACCAAATAAAAAGTTTATGTGGTTTTCTATTTTTATTTTTCTCTCTTTTCTATATTATTTTTTATTATTAATATATAATAAATTACATAAATTATAAAAATATAGAAACCGTATAAAAATAATATTTTGAGGATAGTAAAATGAAAGTTTAAGAAACATAAAATACAATAAATAAAATTTAAAGAATGAATAAAATGTAAAAGAGAGACCTATTTGATGTTTTAGAAGAAAATTAAGTTTTATTTTGAGGTTATATTGGTAAAATATAAGTTTGTTCCATGGGGTAGGGGTGGAACAGGCATGTTCCATTTTGTTCCACTCTGTTCTAGTCTGTTCCACATAAAATTAATGCCAAACATGAGATAGGGATCCTTGTCCTGTCCCTGTCCGATGTACCAAATGCACCCTAAATACTAAAAAAAATGGAGCTCACCAACATTGGTCACTGTATTTGAAGGTAAAAAATGTGGACCTTTAATTTTCAAATATTAATATTATAATATTTATATATAGAGAGAGGGGACAAATTAAATATAAATCATAAAAAGGTTACAAATAGGCATGGGAATTGGCCCCGATCCGTCGGGGAACTCGGTCCACCCGCCTCGGCCGGGGACGGGGATTCCCCATTAAAACGGGTCTCGGGGACGGGGATCCCCGTTTGGCTCAAACCGAGGATGGGGACAGGGACGGGTATCACACTCCCCGCCCCGTACCCGTATATATATATATATATATATATATATATATATATATATATANTATATATATATATATATATATATATATATATATATATATATAATTTATTTCTATTAAATTGGTAAATGGTAATTTATATTTCAATATATTTTGGATATTACTATATGTGGTTTTAGATATTAGTCAATATGTTTTGGTACATATGACGTTAATTTTTTTAGATTATTTTTTTCCATTGTTAATTATTATATAATGATGTATATTTCTTGTATTAAATTAAATTCCTTTTGATTCAACGTTTATTGGAAAAATGTGAGATTTAAACATGTGTAGCGTCTCACACATTTGATTTAAGCCTTTTTTTTACACAAACATGAAAAAAAAAATCCCCGTTTCCCTGTTGAGAACGAGGATGGAGATGTGATCAAATTCCCTGGTGGGGACGGAGACAAAGATCGAGGATCGGGGACGGGGATTGGGGTCCCCACCCCATTACCATCCCTAGTTACAAATTAATCAATGAAGATATTTATGAAAATGATTAAAGATTATTTATTATGATTTTAATATTTATAGAATATGATTATAATTTATTGATAATAATCAACAGTTTATATTATAAAACAATCAATATATTTATTAGACTAGATGAAAATCTCTCTCTCTCTCTATATATATATATATATAGGTTCAAATAAAAATCAATTTTTCAGTGTAAATCAAAGAATAACTTTTAATCACTGATCAAAATAAAGAAAAATAATCAATGGTTAAAACATAAAATGGTTAATTAAGGAGTTAATAGAGGTAAAAATGGAATTAATACCAAATTGAATCACTTCTGACTTTTTATTTTCTTTTTTAATTTAAAAAACTTTTATCCTTTAGTTTTTAAACTAAATTATCTTAAAAATAATTAATATTATTCTCTTCAATTTGACATCTATTTCGATATAGTTTACTTTTGATTATTTTTTACGTGAAATGGTATATCTGTGTAATAATCATCATCAATATTTATGTACGTTTACATGTGTAATACAACTTTTTAATATTTATACATCAATATGATATTCATCATAAATATACAATTCATGTAACATTTATCATAAATATAAATATATCAGTTTGATATTCATAATAAATACACATGTTCACCATAACATTTGTTATATATATATATATATATATATATATATATATATATATAAAACAGATCAAATGCAACCATCTTAAAAATTACACCGAATGCAACCTCTTTGGGACTAGAGATGGCCAAATGGGCCCGGCCCGGCCCGGGACCGCCGGAGGACCAGGACCGGGACCGACAAAGGACCGGCCCGGGACCGGGACCGGTAAGGACCGGTTATGGGACCGAAAACCGGGACCGGTTGAGGTTTTTGGTAGTTTCGTGGGACCGGGACCGACCGGGACCGGGACCGGTTATGGGACCGACTATGGACCGGCCCGGCCCGGCCCGAAAATTCAATTAATTTTATAAATAAATGTATTTTTAAATAATTTTATAATGTATTAAAAATATATATCATTAAAAAAATAAAATAAAAAATCTTATTTTTTTAATGAAGGACCGTTGGGACCGGCGGCCCATAACCGGTTATAAAGTACCTATACCGGTCCTATCATTTTCGACCGGGACCGGGACCGGTTACGCCGGGACCGGTTATGGCCGGTTATGAGAATGGTGAAGACCGATTGGGACCGGCCCGGGACTGGCCCGGGACCGGTTTTTGGCCATCTCTATTTGGGACTGTTGATGAGAATTATGAAGCGTGAGATTGAGAAGGTTACATTTTTGAAATTTTAGGCCCATTTAAGGGTACCATCCGAAGGAAAAAGTGAGGACTTGGGCAAATAGGAATTTTAGGCCCATTTAAGCCACCTGTTCTAGCTATCGGCGAATATCAACAATGGAAAGTTCGGATGATTCATTTTCTGGATAACAAAGATGAGAAGTTGATGCAATTCATCAAGAATGGACCTTATATCAGTTACGTGGATCTACCTGCTCAGACAACTGAAGAAGGTATTGTTGTTCCTGCATCTAGACAGAAGAAAGATCCTCAGTATTACATTGATACTGAAAAGCAAAAGGTCCTGATTGATAAGAAAGCATTAACTTACATGCTAATAGCAATTCCGAATGAGTTATTCAACATAATAGACAGTTGCAGATCAAGAAAAGAACTCTGGGATGAGCTTGAGAAAGAAATGCTTGGTAGTGAGAAGTCAGTCCAGACTAGAATGAACCAGTGTATCAGTTCTTATGAAGGATTTTGGACTAGAGAGACTGAATTAGTCACTTTATCTTACAACCGGTTCAATGTGATTTTGAATGATTTAAGAAGATATCCATCATGAATATACATTTTAACTACAGCATTCATCATGAATATACATACTATTCATAATGAATATACATATTATTCATCATGAATATTTATGTATGATTACATGTACACAACAACTCTATAGTATTTATATTAGTATGATATTTATCATAAATATTAATTTTCACTTAATATTCATTATGCATATACATATTATTCATCATGAATATACTCGAGTTTCAAGTCTACATAATCTAGCTTCTTTCCTTTTATTTTGTTCTCGATTGATTTTGATGAGATCCTAATTCGTCTCAATAGATTCCTGTTCCATCTCGATCAAAGTTGAAAGTGGTAAGTTGTGATTTTTACACAAATAAACACATAATAAAACAATCGATAGATTTGATTTTGATTTCGAGATTTGAATATGAATTTGATTTGGTTTGTATGCACAAGTTATGAGGATTGACCTGATAAGATAACCGGAGGAGATCTGGCCTAAGAAGATATCAGGAGGAGGTGTGTTCAAGTATATGATATTTTTTATTTTTTAAAAAGAAAAATGATAAAAATTTGGGAAAAGGCTAAAATATCCCTCAGTTAACAGGTTTTTCTTATGACCATTAGAGGGAGTGACCAAATCTGAATGTTTTTGTAAACCACTATAGCAATATAGTAATTTCCAAATTGCAAGGACAAAAAGTGTTGTTTTTGACAAACCATACGAACCAAATTTGTGATTTAGGGGCCGTTTACCAAACGTTTATATGGGTAAGCAGTTACAAGTCACATTACCTCACCGGATGAATATGGTAAGGACCAAAAATCTTACCCGGTAAGAGCGAGATAAAGACCAAGAGTCTTATCTGGTAAGTGAGGGCAACAACTCTTACCACAGTAAGCGCTTACCAGGTAGATTGTTGCATACGATGTCGTTTTGGTTGACTAAAATCTTACCCATCAAGTAAATAATAGTGTTAACCACAAGGGTGGTGTCTGCTTGGTTTGAGCTTGGCTCCAAAGGTTAAAAGTACCAGGAGGTCTTAGGTTCAAATCCAAGGAGGAATAAAAATCCCCTTGTGGCCACGGAGATTCAAATGCGGTGACTCTGGGCTATCTGCAAAGCAGGTGGTCGCCCTGTGATTAGTCGGCTCGTATAGCGGGTTGGATATTCAGGTTAATAAAAAAAATTAATAGTGTTAAATTATACTAATAAACACTTACCGAGTAAGTATTTGGTAAACGACCCCTTACTCTTAAATAATAGTCATTTTTATTGTTACCCCTGGATAAAGATAAAATTTTCAATAGACTTTTTAAAATATTAAATTATCGTATTCGTGCATGAAGAAGTGAGACGTTTGTAACCCAGAAGAAAAGAAATTTGAAAGATTAAAATTGTTATATTAATCATATTTAGCAATTAAATGCGACATAAAACTAAACTTTCATGACGTTTAACGCCAGTTTGTGTTGAAATCGAGAGATTCCTTTTGTGGGGAACGAGGCGACGTCACGAATGCTTTGTAATAACGACATGATATATACCACACACCAAACGAGCAATCCAGCATAGTTGGTAGGTACAACGAAGTCAAGTGATGGATACATGTATAGTATGACAAGATACTATTTTCTTTAATTTTCATAAAAATAAAAGGGTCGTTTTGCCAAACACTTACCGGATAAGTGTTTACTGGAGAGAACATGACAATTATCTAAAATCTTACACTGTAAGAGACATAACAAAGACTGAGACGCTTACCTGATAAACACTTATCGGGTAAAAGTTGCTACCAACAATTCAATTTGGTGGCCAATAAGGTAATTGGGGTGGTTTGATGAAATGGTTTTGGGGGATTTGGATTTCATGGAATGGTTTTGAGGGATTTGGATTTCGTGGAAGGATTTGAGATTGAAATTGGAATTTTTGGTGTGTTTGGTTCGTAGAATTTGAAATGATTTTAAAAAAGTTATAAAATACGTAAACTATCTTCTTATTAATTGATTATTACAAAACAAATGTTTTTAACATATTTTAAAACATTATTACATACAAATCCTACGAAATCCTGTGAAATTCCAACCATACCCTTGGGATTCAAAACCCTTTGTGGAATTTCAACCTATCTGGAAGTTCAATAAAATCCCATAATTTCAAATTCAATAAATCCTTCGAACCAAACATAAGATTGTAATCGATTTCAATCCTACAAATCAAGCAAGACCTCAGACTTCTTGTGACAATGGTTTTTAACCCAAACACCTAACAAAACATTGTGTACCTGATTCGTCTTGCTCATCCAGTTCGGTGTTCGGCCTACTCGAAAGTTACCAATAAGCATGGCGATGGAGCGGGTTTTGTAATCCCTGGCCCTGGTCCCCGACGGGTACAGGGTTTAACATTTTGTCCCTGGTCAAAGCCCATAAATAATATCCTTTAATTTGTTTCTAACGGGCATCCAGGCCCCGGTCCCGTCCCCGGTTTGAGTCTACCAGGGATCCCCGGCCCCAGGACCACTTTAGCGAGGAAACCCCATTCCCATTCGGGTCAGGTAAATCGGGTTCCCCACCAAATCGGGACAAATCACATCCCTAGTTACAGATTACAAATCATTTTATACAAACTTGAGCTCTATAAATTTAATTGATCAAATATCGAATGTAAAAAATATCTTTCCCAATTAAAAGGTTGAGTTAAATGTGTGTGGGGGCATATATGAAGTGCATGTGCAAGAATTCTAGCATTAAATGTGCAATAAAATTAATTAAAATATATTATAAATAAAATATCAATAAAACTCGTGAAGAATAAATGGTTAGTTTGTATCGATTTGAGATGATTAAAAATATTACAAACTAATAATAAAAATAAATAATTTAATGAAAAAATAATAATAAATTGTAAATTTTATTAAAAAGTAAAATATTAAATAAATGGTACCAATAAGAAAATTTATATGAATAAATTTAAATATAAATATAAATAGTCATGGATACTTACTAAACACTTGCCTTGATAAACGTTTAGCAGTTCAATTACCTTACTTAATAATCATAACAATAACCGAGAATCTTATCCGGTAAGAGGAAAGATATGGATTAAGAGTCTTACCCGGTAAACAATGTTAAAAAAGGTGCAGTGCAAGACACGTATCTGCTGTTACGAAATGGGCTATAGCGTTTCTGTAAGTCGTAACTTACACCGCGGCTCATGTTATTTTGAACCTTGCCAGTAATTAAGGTTGATGACTCTTACCGGGTTATAAACGCTTACCATCAATTTTTGATGATCGAAACATTACCCTTTAAGATAAATAAGAACAATGACTTACCGATAAACAATTACATAAACATCTGGTAAACGACCCTTTGTTTTGAAATAGAAGAAGTAGTCATATATTTACAACTAACATATTATGATGTTATTTTTATTTCATATAAAACATGTATTTGTTTAAATGTCTTCAGATATTATGTGGGTGTTTGAGATTGTTTATTTGAAACAACTTATACTTTTCTGTAAAAGTGTTTGTCAACTTATTATAAGTAAGAATAATTTAGCTTCTACAAAAACTCTTTATTACCGATTTGGCACCAGTATAAGTTATTTATCCAAACATTTAAAATTGTTTATTATCGATAACACACCGAAACAAATCAATAAGTTATTTTTACAAATAATCTCGAATATCTAAAAATGGAAAAAGGGGTGTCGGCGGAGATGGGAATTGGGCGCACGTACCCACAGGCTGGTGGGGCCTCCATATTTAATGTAATGTAACCCCAACCCAACACAATATGGCATATTGGCATGGCATCCTCACACCTCCATTCACCCTCTCTCTTTCTTTTTTCTTCTACTAACATGGCTCTATAATTCTTATTATCGAGTAACACTCTTCATCTTTATAATTGTTCTTATCAGGTATGATTTTTGATCTTTGTCATGTTCATCCGGTAAGGAAAATTATCTAATAAGGACTTATCGGCTAAGCGTTTAGTAAACGGCTCCTTAGAGATGAAAATTTTATCTGTTGAGGTAACGTGGTTAAGTTTTACGGTTTGGTGGATAATGGGATGAGATTGGGGATTTATTTTCATATCTGAAGCGGGTTCGGGGTGAGATCTGGAATGACATTATCTATCCCTAATCTGATCGTGATTAACTTTTGTTTTTGTTTTATTTAATATATTTATATAGTGTATGTGTATGTAAATATATATGTATGCATGTATATAATAAATATATTTGATTTTCAATATGGGTAATTAATATTTTGATAATTCATTATAATTTTAATTTTAGAATATATTGTTGTTATTATTTTTTATTAAACGGGTACCCAATGAGTTTCTCGAACCCACCAGGATTCCTTTCCCCTAAACCCGTTGGGGATTAGTCCGCGTGAGGTCAGGGATCGGGGTCGGGGACGAGGGATGCATTACCCGCCCAATACCCGTCCCGTTTCTATCCTTAGTACCCAATGGGTTTCTCAAACCCACCAGGATTCCTTTCCCCTAAACCCGTTGAGAATTAGTCCGACTGAGGTCAGGGATCGGGGTCGGGGACGAGGGATGCATTACCCGCCCAATACCCGCCCCGTTTTATCCCTTGTTGAGACCGAACCAACAATTTTTTAAGTGATGACATTATTTGAATATACAAAAACGAAGTTAAGAATATTTTTCAAAATATCATCATTTTGGTTTGTTGATTAGTTTCTTATTTTTATTTTTATGATTAACCTGGATATCCAACCCGGTATACGAGCCGACTAATCCTAGGGCAACCACCTGCTTTGCAGATAGCCCGGAGTCACCGCATTTGAACCTCCATGGCCACAAAGGAATTTTTATTCCTCCTTGGATTTGAACCTGAGACCTCCAGGTACTTTTGATCTTTGGAGTCAAGCTCAAACCAATCAAACACCACCCTTGTGGTTAGTTTCTTACATTTTCTTATATGAGGCCTTGTATTCAAGTTTTTTATAGTATTTTTTTTCAGAAACGTAATGAACATAAAGTTAA